TTTGTATGGGCCTATTGAGGGTGATAGTGGCAAACCCGAAGGTATGAAAGATGATGAATGGAATAGGCTTAATCGAAAAGCCGTTGCTGTTATCCGTCAATGGATTAACGAAAGTGTGTTTCATGATGTTGCTACTGAAATTTCGGTACATGATTTATGAAAAAAATTGGAAGGCCTTTATGACAGAAAATCAGTCGCAAATAAAGCTTTTTTGTTTCGTAAGTTGGTTAATTTAAAATATAAAGAGAGCAGCCCTATTCCGGACACATCTGAATGAAATAAAGAGTATTGTTAACCAACTTGCTTCTATGAAAATTATTTTTGATGATGAGTTGCAGGCTTTGATGCTACTTAGTTCTTTGCCCGAAAGTTGGGAGACTTTGGTTGTGACAGTTACTAATTCGGTGCCCGATGGAGTTGTCACAATGGGCCAAGTCACTAGTAGCATGTTGAATGAAGAAACTAAAAGAAAATCAACGGGTTCCTCTCATTCGAAAGCATTTGTTGTGAGAGGCCAAAGTAAAACAAGGGAAAGGAGTAAGACTCTTCATGGTCGTGATCAAAGCCGTGACAAATCAAGAGATGGTTCTTTTTCAAAGAAAGACATTGAGTATTATTATTGCCATGAGAAAGGGCACATGAAGCGAGAATGTCGAAAGCTCAAGAACAAGGAGAAAAGGCATGACAAAAGTGTGGATAAGAAGCAAGAAGACATAACGGCAGTTACTACCGATGATCTCATGGTCGTTTGTGAAGATGATTGTATCAATTTTGTGGGCCAGGAGAGCAATTGGGTGATTGATTTTGGTGCTTCTTTTCATGTGACTTCTGGAGTTGATTTCTTCACTACCTACACCAAAGGAGATTATGGTTCTGTTCGAATGGGTAATGAAGGTATGTCCAAGATTATTGGCATGGGTGATGTTTGCTTAGAAACAAATTTGGGCTGCAAGTTGTTGCTTAAAGATGTGAGGCATGTTCCCGACATTCGCCTCAATTTGATCTCTACCGGGAAGCTAGATGATGAAGGCTACAACAACAAATTTGGTGATGGAATATGGAAGCTCACAAAGGGTTCCTTGGTGGTGGCTAAGTGTAAGAAGACTCATACACTTTATTCGATGCAAGGAAAAATTTGTAAAGGTGTTGTCAATGCACTTGAAGATGATACTTCTACTGAATTGTGGCCCAAGCGGCTTGGGCGTATATTTGTGAACACTTATGCGATGTTGCCGAGAGGATGAACCGCACCATTGTGGAAAGAACAAGATGTTTGCTTTCACAAGCTAAATTGCCAAGATCCTTTTGGGGTGAGGCAATGAAGACAGCGGTTGACGTGATCAATTTGTCTCTTTCCTGTTCTCTGAATGGTGATGTTCCTGAAAGAGTTTGGACCGGAAAAGATGTGTCTTATAAGCACTTGAGAGTGTTTGGTTGCCGAGCATTTGTTCACATTCCAAAAGATGAGAGGTCCAAGCTTGATAATAAGTCAAGACAATGTATTTTTCTTGGCTATGGGTGTGATGAATTTGGGTATAGATTGTGGGATCTGGTCGACAAGAAAGTCATTCGAAGCCATGATGTTGTGTTTCTTGAAGACCAAACAATTGAAGACTTTGGCAAAGGTGATCAACCGGAGCCAAAAACTAGTGATCTCATTGACATGGATCCATCTCCTTCATCTTCAGTTGATGATGAAAATAGGGGAGATGTGCAGCTACCCATTGAAGATGTAGAGGATGATGTTAATCCTAATAAAGTTGAGCCAGAAATTGAGGAAGAGCATTCAACTCAAGAACTGCCACCACAACTTGAGTTGAGAAAATCCATAAGGAACCGACAACCTTCAAGAAAGTATCCTCCCAATGAATTTGTGTTGATTTCCGATCAAGGAAGCCTGAGAGCTACCAAGAAGCAATTGAGCATACAAAGAAAGATGATTGGAAAAAGGCAATGGAAGAGGAGATGAATTCCTTACTTGAAAATCACACTTATGATTTAGTGAAGTTGCCTAAGGGAAGGAAAATTCTGAAAAATAAGTAGGTTTTCAAATTGAAGAATGATAGGAAGAATCTGAGGTACAAAGCATGTCTTGTTGTGAAAGGCTTTGGACAAAAGAAAAGTATTGACTTTGATGAGATTTTCTCGCCAGTTGTGAAGATGTTTTCTATTCGGGTTGTACTTGGCATGGCTGCAAGTATGAACCTTGAAGTTGAACAACTTGATGTGAAGACCGCATTTCTTCATGGTGACCTTGAAGAAGAAATTTGCATGGAACAACCGGAAGGTTTTGTGGAAAAAGAGAAAGAGAAATTTGTTTGCAGATTGAAGAAAAGTTTGTATGGCCTCAAGCAAGCCCTGCGATAATGGTATAAAAAATTTGACTCTTTCATGATGAATAATGGTTTTTCTAAAACCACTTCGGACCATTGTGTGTTTGTGAAAATTTCCCAGATAGTAAATTTATTATTCTTTTGCTTAATGTTGATGACATGTTAATTGTAGGTCATGATTCTACCATGATTAACAAGTTGAAGTTAAAGTTGAGTAAATCTTTTGCTATGAAAGATTTGGGACTGGCAAAGTAGATACTTAGTGTGAAAATTGTTCGTGATCGCAAAAAGGGGCTGATTTGGTTGTCTTAAGAAAGCTACATTGAGAAAGTTCTTGAGAGGTTCAACATGAATAAAACAAGGCCGGTTGGTTGTCCACTTGGGGGTCACTTCAAACTTAGTTCGAATCAATGTCCTACAAGTGAGAAAGACAAGGAAGAGATGCTAAAAATTCCTTATGCTTTAGCAGTTGGTTCTTTGATGTACGCCATGGTTTGTAGAAGGCCGGATATTGCTCACGCCGTTGGTGTGGTGAGTCGGTTTCTCTCTAATCCAGGTAAAGAACATTGGGCAGCGGTAAAATGGATTCTAAGGTATCTTCGAGGGACTTCGAAGGTGTGTTTGTGTTTTGGGGATGGTAAGTCGATGCTTGATCCGTTCACGGATTCTGACATGGCCGGTTATATTGATTCTAGGAAATCTACTTCAGGGTATTTGATGACTTTTGCAGGAGGAGCTATGGCATGGCAATCTAAATTACAAAAATGGGTTGCTCTCTCAACTACCGAAACTGAATTTATTACCATTACGGAAGCTTGCAAAGAAGAGTTATGGTTGAAGAAATTTTTGCAAGAGTTGGGTTTGAAGCAAGAAAAGTATGTGCTTTATTGTGATAGTCAAAGTGCTATTCATTTGAGTAAAAATTCTACATTTCATTTGAGACCGAAACACATTGATGTGAGATTCCATTGGAATCGTGATGTGTTAGATTCGAAATTGTTGCAACTCGAAAAGGTTCACACAGATGATAATATTTCGGATATGTTGACTAAAACTTTGTCGAGGGACAAACATTTGAAGTGTCGAACTTTGACAGGTATGGTTGATCTCTCCACCTAAGTCAGTAGGGGGAGAATTGTTGGGTATACCTCCTTATTGGAGTATGGGACCCAATTGGTTTATTAAAAGAGTTTAATTTAGTTTGGTATTAGTTATAATATATTTTTATATATTATATCTAATTTGTGGAAACCCAATTCAATTTGGATGCAACTAGGGTTTTGATAAAACAAGTCCAAGATTTAACATTATATATATATATATATTGTTTTAGTCTTCCAACAAAAAAATCAGTACCGTGCAGCTGCCCTATTTTTTTGGTATTCTTTTCTGAAGGTGAGCACCCAGCTTTGATTCGGTGGTGTGGTTTCGGTTGATGTTTGGTGACACTGATTTGGATTATTATTTTGGATCTTCTACAACTCTGGTTTGAAGGTTTTTGTTCATCTATTTGGTGAGGTCTTTCCTCTTGTTTATTTATGATTATTTGGAATTCACCTAAGGGTGTTTTATGAGACCATTCATGTCTTGTTTGTAACTGTTTGGAAACACTTTGGTTGATAGTGAAATCGAATTTCGATCCCATGGACGTACCTCAAATTGAATGAACCACGTAAAAATTCTTGTGTTGCTTTTAATTTAATTTTTCCGTAGTAGTTTTTATTCCCATTGATTGATTTACTTGTGGGGAATCATATATTTTCCCTAACAGATGGTATAAAGGCAAAAAGATATACAAGGTGAAATATACATTGTAATATAAGTGAGATGAAAACAACATTTTCTCGTTTATACAACTAATGAATTTCTTATGGAAAAAGAGGTAAAAGTGATGAATTAAAACCATAAAGGACTCCAGTATAATTATACCAAACTTGTAGGACTATAATTTGTTAGGATTTAAATTACGTGTTCAATTCTTAAACCCTATGAATCAGAGAAAAAATAAATACATATAACACACAGATATACGAAGGTCAACAACGTGCCTGTATTCTCAGGAGCCACACCAATTCACTATGTTGAGTATAGAATTACAAACACTCTTTTTCTCCCTCACACTAAAAAACGACAGCAGTATCTCTTTTCTCTCTAACCCTAAAATGTATAAATAATGTTACATTATATAGGGTAAAAGTCTATGGGCCGAAAATAGCCAAACAGGCCTGAAAAAAATTCTCTTGTGGGGGCCCCACCCCTAGGCTTGGGCTTGCTATTGATAGTTGTCATACCCAACATAATTTACCCTAAATTTTTTTACAAGCTTTGGTCTCAACCATAATTGATTTAAATTGTTTTTGTGCTTCACAGAATCACAGTATGTTTCGCCATTGCATTTAATTAAGTTTGAATTTTTATGCGGCTTTTGTATCGTGCCTTCCATTTCTGTCCTAGCTATAAAAAGTGAAAATGTTGATGATGGAGTCAATTGCTTGACATGCCAACTTAATGAACACTTCTAATGAAGTGAAAGATTTTGAGGAAATAACTGCATCATTTGAGGTTCATTCTGATGAACCTTCTTATTGTGCATTTTCCATATAAACGGGAAATAATTGCATCATTTGAGGTTCATTCTGATGAAGTGAAAGATTTTTTTTTTTTTTATCAGCAAAGAAAGTAACATTTTATTAATGCTAATACAACATCACAAAAGGGGAGAATAAAACAGTTAGGCCAGAATCCAACTGCCAAGAGGAAACGAAAAAAACCCGAAACACTCCTAACCTTCCTGAAACAGAGGAAACAAGGCATGATAGTCCAACAACTATCTCTAGAATCAAAAGATAGAACAAAAGAAAATATAGCAGCAACAAAAAAACTGAGATGATTCAAGTTGGTCACTGATAATTGACTACTTTGGAACAATGAATAGTGCTGCCCGACGATGTATAATTGCTTATATAATCTTGTAAGTTCTGATCACAAGGTATTACAATTAAGTCGTCCACTTCATCTTTATACTTGACACAATAAGTTCCATCCTCCAAGTGCAGTCTCTTGGCGATTTGCTGCTGCAACTCAACTAGTCCCGATGACAAAGACAGTGGAAACTTTATTATAATATCATTGATATATTTTGCCTTCACGGTCACAACATTTGCATCTCGGATCACTGTATTACGTGGGTTTGCATGAAAAACAGTAGCAGAGGCTTGACTAAAAGGCTGATCAGAACTTAATTGTGGTATTTGTTGATGATCAACACCCGGGGAAGATTCACTAGGTTGAGAGGAACCAACCATATTCTTCTTGCGTGGTGGCCACCTCGGGAAACCATAACCCCTACAAGCACGCTTTAATGTAGATCGGCTAACTGCAAAAGGAAGAATCTAGCTAAGAGACACAACTTTATGTTGTTAGTGCAAAATGTCAAATATTTCTTAATGTCAAATATTTCTTTACGAGAAGAATGTCGAGTTAAAAATAATAAGTAAAATCACAAGCAATATTCTATTTTAATTTGTTAAGAGTGCAAATACCTTGGAGGCTATCTGCAGCAACCTGGATGCTCTCTCTTGAATTTTGTAGGATATCATCTAAAGGAATTTCAATTTTAACTCTTTTTGGCCTCTTTGTTTTGCCTTTTTTCTGTGAATTGCTTCCATTGTTTAATGCATCCATTGATTGTTGATTTGATGAATCCAGTTGTGTCATCTCCCCTCCACTTTGTAAAGGCTCCAGCCTAGGCAAAGATTTAGTAGTTTGGGACGTTTGAACAAAATCAAGTTTCTCACCATTCTAAAAAGAAATTTCTTCAATACATAAATGTTCCCCAAGTTCTTCTCCAGAAGCAAGCTTAAAAGTTTTGAAAATTTTCTTCATTGTTTCCAATATTTTCCTCAATGCAGTCTGTTGATTACTGTAGTCTTTCTTGCTTGGCGGCATAAAGCACTCTAACCCGTAAATGTCCTTTCTGGTGCAACTATTTTGCAGTCAACTTCATCGAATTTGAGTATCACATGGAAGATGTCACCCTTAACTAGAGCCCTGCATGTCCAGTCTACCCTGCACGGGGCCCATACTTGAGCAAAATGTAAACCATGAACTTCACGCACAACTTCCAACACCTGGTTGATTTCATTTAAGGCTTTTCTTTGTCTCACATTCTAGTTGAAAAGCTTTGTCACATCCAAGTATTGTCAGAAGATATTCCTCATCATATTAATTTAAAAAATAAAATAAATTACCAAATTTGACATTACATTACAGTGTACCACTTACAAAATCCATCCAATGGTCTGCATGTGAAATTGAAGATTCCAGACCTACCTCCTGCCGAGGAATGGAAAGATGCGACTAAGGAATCTTGTACACTTTGAAATGTAGAATATTTGTTTGCAAAGAAAAGGAAGCATTTAAGAGACTCTAAAAACAATTCAGTTAGCTAAATGAGCACGGAATGCAATAAAAAAAACACAACTTGACGTTTTGCTTTGCTTTCTTTCTTTGTACCATAGAAGCTCAAGCTGAGAAGATAAACAACACACTATTTTATCCTGGCGGCATAAAGCACTCTAACACGTAAATGTCCTTTCTGGTGCAACTACTTTGCAAGCATATTGCGAAACAACCACGTAATTCATCAGCTTGTGCACAGTGTGCCAATGGGTAGTCAATTATGCTAAATTGGGTTACATCATTGCACAATAATACATTAGGGGAGTAGAATGCTCTCCCAACAACTCCTTGCCCCTTTCTTAAGTGATGTTCAACATTGGCCATACTGAATAGTTCGTAGCAGTCAACTTCATCGAATTTGAGTATCACATGGAAGATGTCACCCTTAACTAGAGCCCTGCATGTCCAGTCTACCCTGCACGGGGCCCATACTTGAGCAAAATGTAAACCATGAACTTCACGCACAACTTCCAACACCAACACCTGGTTGATTTCTTTGTCTCACATTCTGGTTGAAAAGCTTTGTCACATCCAAGTATTGTCAGAAGATATTCCTCATCATATTAATTTAAAAAATAAAATAAATTATCAAATTTGACATTACATTACAGTGTACCACTTACAAAATCCATCCAATGGTCTGCATGTGAAATTGAAGATTCCAGACCTACCTCCTGCGTTTTCTTTTATAAATGCATGTTAATGTTATGGTTATTATGGGTTATTTTGAGGGCGTGACAATATTAATTTAAAAAATAAAATAAATTATCAAATTTGACATTACATTACAGTGTACTACTTACAAAATCCATCCAATGGTCTGCATGCACTACTACAAAAACAGATAAAGATCACACTTTTTTTGTGTGATTTTTGTTATTTAATCACACCTTTTAAGTTTTATTGAAGTATGATCTTTGGGAGTGTGATTAAAAAGGGTTATTTTTAATCACACCTTTTAAGTGTGATTAATAATATTTAGGTCACACCTTTTAAGTGTGATTAAAAACATTTAGGTCACATTTTTTAAGTGTGATTAAAAACTAATAAAACCTGTGATAATAAACTTTAGATCACACCTTTTAAGTGTGATTAATAACATTCAGATCACACCTTTTAAGTGTGATTAAAAACTAATAAAACCTGTGATAATAAACTTTAGATCACATCTTTTAAGTGTGTTTAAAAACATTTAGATCACATCTTTTAAGTGTAATTAAAAACTAATAAAACCTGTGATAATAAACTTTAGATCACATCTTTTAAATATGATTAATAACATTTAAATCACATCTTTTAAATGTGATTAATTACTAAAAAGATTCGACATATTTGAAGAATAATCAAATTATTTTTGTATGCGCATTTCAAGAATATAATACACAGTAGGAAAATGTTTGGTGGCCACAAATTCTGTGGCTCAAATTGCCCGAAAATGTCAAAACAACGTCGTTTTGGCATTTTCAGAGTTGTTTTGTACCAAAAACGACGTCGTTTTGGCATTTTCGGACCATTTGAGCCACAAAATTTGTGGCCACCAATCATTGCCCTACACACTATATACTATACTTTGAATCATAACCACATATTCAATGGAATAGCGCCATATATTTCATAAATGAAAGTTAAATATGTTCAAAAGTATATACAAAGGAATTAAATAAAAAATTTTAAACTGTGCTTACATTTATTAAAAAATAAAAAAAAAAAAAAACTTGAAAAATTAAGTCATTGAATTCTTTGATCATATTTTGCATCTCTCCAAAAAATTTCTAACCTGAAAAATAAAAACACAAATTAATTCAACAACTCAGATGAAAAGCCACACCAAACTAAATTAAATAAATTAAATTAATTAATGATTGACTTACAATGACAAAGAGATCCCAACAATGTCAAATATAGTCGGATTATTATAGGGCAGCCACATAAAATCGGGCAAATGAAGTCACTATCTAAAACTTTCGTAACAGGTTAAAGAAGCATAAAGCTTAAATATACTTCATTTGACTTTGCATTTGCAATTCCCATGAAGGGCTGCTAAAAGGGTTAATTATGTAACGACGCCCCCAGAAACCACCAATCCATCAAATAATATAAACCTTTACTTATAGTAAATAAGTAAGAATTTCACATTATGATAACGAATACTAATAAGCTGAGAAAAGATTTCAATCTGCATAACCCGCCAAAGATTTGATGATCAAATTTACCCACCCAGAAACAATTGGATAGCAATTATGAAATGATTAATGCCACAAAAAAAGGGCAATCTTAGAACCTAAAATCAATACCTCATAAACCAACAAAATCAAATGAAACCCAAATCATTAAAATCACAAATCAATACAATACTCGTGAAATATGACTAATAAATAGATCAGCTAAAGTTTCAAGACCCATCACCCAAAGACCTTCAAAAGATTCAACTGTGTGCCCGGAAAACAAAAGCTAATGATACAATCGAAGTTCATTCACTAGCAAGTATAAACCACAAAAGAGAAAAAATAAAGAGAAAGAAAATAATTAAAAAAAAAATCAAGAGGTTTACTATTACCCTCAAAATAAGACGAACCCATAGCTGTTGTTGAATAACTAAACCACTTTCACTACCACATTACCACCAAAGCCCAACTTTTCTATACCTGAAATAGACAGATCAGGTAAAAGGTGAATGAAAATATGTGCTGAAAAACAAAGAAAGCATATGAGAGAGAAATGTGATAAATTTTTTGTGAACTCAAGATTATGTGAAGTCCCAACATAGAAATGTGATAAATTTTTTGTTTGAGCACTCTATCTAAACACTATGATCAGATTATCGGATATTTTGTTCAACATGCTTTTTGATTATTTTGTTTAAATTTTTTATTAGACATTGTGCTCGACCCAATTTATTAAGTCAATATGTTCAGTTGATAAATTAGGTCATTCTAATGGAGATAATCTGAGAGAACCTCACTGGTTTATTTAAATAATGCTGATCACACCTAAATATGGCACTATCCCACAAATCCACAATGCTTTGTTATCTCTTCATTGATCACTCACATTAATCAATTTAGAAAACATTACGTAGAAACAATATCTACAAAGAGAGTACTGTATTGAATAAGAAAATATTTCAAACACCTAATTTATCACTCTTAAAAATTACCTCTAATGATATGTTTGACAAGTGTCAAATTTTAAACATTCCATCATGTGGGATCTAACCTCAATATCATATCATTAGATGTAATAAACTATGAGGATGTCGCATTATTGATTAAATAATAAAGAGAGTTTTGTATTAAATAATAATGCTACATATCTACGAAAATTAAAAATGCATGAAGTATTGTCAACACAACATTCTCAATATATTAAAAACAGAAAGTATATACTATTTTCCAATAATAAAATTAAGGAATAAAAATGAAAAAAAAAAAAACTTTGCTTAGGGAGATGGTAACCATCCAAGTTGAGTTGAGTTGGGGATGCCTTTTAACAAAGAGAGGGAAACAAAACGATAAAAGACAGCTTATCTCCACATGCACTATCCTTTGTTTAATCTTATTTAAGCACTATAACAAGTTTTCTTGTAAATTAAAAGTTGATGTACTCAGTAACATCAAATACAAGCTCGAATAAATTTTTTTAAATTGCTTCATTTTAAATCGGATAAAATATTTACATTTATTTGTTAGTGAATAACTCAAGTTTACAAAAAAAAAAAATCGGTCCAATATTGTTGGGTATTTTTTGAGGGGGAGTAAAAATGAGGTATCAACATGTATTATGCATTAAAAACTGGATATGGTTTTACCTATGTTTACATGAACGTCGTCATCAATTTTGAGATAGAAATCTGCATCCCACAAAGCAACAGCGGTAGCAAAATTTATCTTTGTTTTCGCTGACAATTCATTGTAGCCCTCTACATGTTTCTGCCCAAAGAAAATAAACAAAGTCAAGTGCGTGTCTAACAAACACGCTTTTATTTAGTCTTTAACATTCATGCTACTCAAAACAGTTATTGGCAATGGCAATAGAGGAAGTAAAGAAAAAAGAACGCAACATCACCAGCCGCAAGAAGTCCTTGTGCTTTCTATCCTCTGCTTCAATAGCTTTGTCAAGAATACCATCGGATGTTGAACTAGTGACAAAAAACAATTAATAAATTCATTTTCACTTGCAAAATTCCTAGTCCACCGCTCACTGATATGCAAAATGTTACTAGTGACAGAAAAACAATTAATAGATTCATTTTCATTTAGTGTAGAAACCAGCCAAATGTTACATTGTTTGAGTCATGGAATTCCATGTTATGTTAAACTTATTGTGGTTGGTGTTACTATTCTAGGAAACACGGTTCAGACTTCATCATTAAATTGATACAATTTAAAAAAAAAAAAACTCAATTTTTTCAATCACATAAGTTTTAGAAAATTACATAAAACCACAACTAAAAACCACATACGTATGCAATTAGCTAATATCAGCTCTGAAAAGCATATACTAATTCGTACCTGTGACCAATAACAAAGCTTATGACAATGCCCTTCTCTTCCTCTGGCTTCTTTCTTTTCTCACCTTCAATTTTTTTTATCAGAGAACCCATTACTCATTGATCATATACAATAACATCAATCATGAAATAAAAACAAAGCTACAAGATCAGCTAATGCACCTTGGGGCATCCACGTCTCCCGCAGGGAATCTCTTCGCTTTTGGCTACTAAAAGCTGTATTAATTCCCATAACCATGAAATATTTTTTGTTAGACTTTGCAACCTTTTGGTTTATTGACTTCGGAGAGGCCCTCGGTAGAAATATATTCCTTGTTTTTACTGCTGCTGATTCATCTTGTGTTCTGCATTCCATAATCAGAAACAGGATGTGAATTCAGTTGACTCCATGCCATACATGAGGGCATCACTTGTAAATTGTATCCAACTCAAACAAGCATTGGGATTGCTTACCGTTTGGGATGATGAGCCTTTAAAACTTCATTGCTTACAAGCTTCTGATGAAAACCAAGGAAAACACAAAGTTTGAAGTATGAACACATCAGTATTATGAACTTGATAATTAAATGAAGCAACAAAACAGAAAATGAGTAAATAGTTGATGATGATAAGTCTAGAAGAGAGAATAATTTCCATCAGAAAATTTGTTTGCACACTGTATTTGGATAAATGCTACATTTTTTAATTTCTTGAAAAAAATATATAGAAGTTAGAGAAGTTGGAGGTTTAAATTGATTCAAGTGGAGGCTGCTTGAGATTATGAAAAAATAACTCTTTGTAGTGATTGAAGACTCATATACCCATGAACAATCTGAATGATCTTTCAGGCTAACCTGATCTACCTCATGAGCTCCAAGTTCAAGCTTTGCTTGAAAAACTTAAGAGTTGAGAAACAGGATTTATTTTCTGCTCGTAAATCTGACAAATATTTTGTGAAACTCCAAAATCAAGTAGATCTTGTAGTCACCATGGTTGATAATAGCTATTCCAAATGAGGAAAAGCCAAATAATGTATCGCCAAGTAAGCTTTTAGCAATTATATTCTAGTGGTCACTGAAACCAATCCTTTCTTAAGTTGTGTTTGGATCTTGGATTTGGCGAGGGATTTGTGTGAAGGGAAAAGAAAAGATCCAAACACACTGAAAGTTGGCTTCCAAATGCAGCTAAACGTTAGGTTTTGTTAAAATGGAAGATGCACTCACAAGTTTGGGATTATAAGCCTCAGAAACTAAGTGTCTTCTTTCAGCTTTGACAGCAGTTGTCCTTGCAATAACCATTGTTTCAGGCACCAGCCATATCCTGATACCAAGTGCTCCAAATCAATATGACATGCAAATATTGTTAATGCTTCATCTTTCATGCATAAAACTAGGTGTAGAAAAATTGTACAAGTTGCTAACAACTAAAATAAGATCCATATAAAATATCAAATATGTGGACTTTAGTCCCCACCACATCGGATGGGGTTCTGGAGGGGTAGATTGGGTACACCAGTGGTTAAAACTTGATCCCTCAATCTTGAGTTTGTAGGTTCAAACCTAGAGGGCAAATAAGAATGTCCTGTTTGTTTAAGAAATGTTTGATCCCTCAATCTTGACTTCACATAATCTTGAGTTCATTGTTTAAAAACAAAACAATTGCAAAATATAAGAATGTCCTGTTTATTTAAATGAAATGAAATCAGATGAAATCGTCAAAATATATTCAGATAGACAGAAAGATATAAGAAATTAGACCGCACCAGGAACACCGGCGAATCGGAGAGCCTCTTCAATCATGTGAATCTGAGCGGACCGATGTTCTTGAAGTTGAAAGCTTCGAGCCTGCTATTAATGGCTGCGGTGGTCCCTGAGCAGCTCGTTCGCCACTGGAGTGAGAGCAGCAGAGGGAAAGCCAATGGAGTGAGAAACAAAAGAGTGAGGCTCCTTAACCCCGTCGCTCGACGCCATTGTCTGCCGTGCTCACAGTCGCGAGAGAGAGAGATGGGGATTTTTGGTTCAAAAATTAGGGATTTGAGATTTGGGGATTTTTGGTTGAGGGGGGGAAAAAACGAGCGGGAATTAGATTTTATGCTTTTTTCTTTTTCGCCACATCAAGCATAACTGGCTCAAATGAAAATTTAAGGTACGGTTTGATAACATTTATATTTTTAATTTAGGATTACAAAAATTTATTTTGGATAAATTTTTTGACTTTTAAAATTTTTGTAAGAGAAAAAAATGAAATTATTATGGTATGAATGTGATATTTTATTTTATTAACTTTTTAACTTAGTTTATGTTTTTATAATTAAAATAACAAAAAAAAAAAAAACTCACGCCAATATAACTTAGGCCTCGTTTGGGAACAGGCTAATTTAGTAACTTTTTGGCTATTTGGCTAAAATATGAGCTAAAAAAATTAGTATGTTTGGGATGACTTTTTGACTTTTTATAAAAATATGTGCAAAAAATAGAGAGAAAAGAGAATTTTTGACTTTTTAATATA